AGGCTGACTTAACGTTTTCTCGTGAGGTGCGGGAATTGTCAAGCGTTAAGGCCGCACGGTTCTAGTTGTTCGGGTGTAACGAACTTGAAAGTTAGCTCCTGTGACCCGTGGGTATAATTTAGACCATCGCATTGAGCTAGAGATTGGTGCCAAACCCCCGGCCATGGCACCTTATCGCATGGCACCTCCGGAGTTAGAGGAACTTCGAAAACAACTTACGGAGCTTGTGGAGACGGGAAGGATTAGACCATCCAAAGCTCCCTATGGCGCCCCGGTGTTATTCCAAAAGAAGCCGGACGGGACACTAAGGATGTGCGTTGATTACCGGGCATATTAGAGAATATCACGGACTTTACTTGACAAGTGGCACAAGTGGTGTATAGCAACCACTTACTTGTCCACAACTTGCAGAAAAGTGAATCCACGGGACATAGTCCATTTGAACTTGCAACAGGGCGACAACCTACAACGCCCCACACATTATCTATGGTTGGTGATTCTAACCGAAGTCCCGGAGCAATCAAAATGGCTAAGTCATGGGGAGATCATGTGGACTTAGCAAGATCTTGCTTGGAGAAAGCCCGGAAGCGAATGAAGAAATGGGCCGATGTGAGACGAAGACCATTGGAATTCAACATTGGAGATCAAGTACTTGTGAAAGTGTTGCCACAACAGTTCAAAGCCTACCGCAAAGTTCACAAGGGCTTGGTTAGGAAATATGAAGGTCCGTTCCCCATTCTAGCAAAAGTTGGAAGAGTTTCCTATCGGCTTGATCTTCCAAGCACTTTAAAGATCCACCCGGTTTTTCATGTAAGCATGTTGAAGCCATATAGGCCGGACTTGGAGGATCTAGCGAGAAACAAATCAAAGAGGGCGCCTCCTATCGTCACAAAATCTTTTGAGAAAGATGTTGAATCCATTTTGGCGGATCGAGTGGTAAGACGGAGAGGTGTTCCCCCTTGCACTCAATACCTAATCAAATGGAAGGGATTGCCCGAGTCTGAAGCTACTTGGGAGAATGAGGGAGATCTATGGCAATTTGAGTCAGAGCTTCAGAATTACATGGCGACGAGGGCGTCGCCAAATTCGGTGGGGGAGTGACTTACGCTCCACGCGGTCGCGTTCGATCCATCCCGGTAGTGGCCGCAAAATAGCGTGAACCGCACGCTGCAATAGGATGGAATGGGCAGAATGCAGGCTGCCTAAAATGGTGCAACT